TAAAGTATCTTTCAACACTGGCAAATTGCTGTGTTGTCATCTTAGTGTCACTTCGCACTGCATCAAAGGCATCAAGGCAAGCTTGCCTAGACATCAAAACTCATACCAGTCACGCAGCTTACCATGCTTTTCGTTATACCTTGTGGCTTACTAGCGAACGATTGTCTATTTCTGATTGTTTAGAACTATTATCTTGTGTAGGCTCTTGGTAAAGGTAAATTACTTCTGCTGTGCACTGATTCACGCACATTGATTGCAAGACCCGGACTGTATTTATGACTTTATTTCGTATGTTTTCACGTTTCCTGGCGTCAAATTCCTCTCAGCGGTCTCCAGCAACTGGAAACGAGTCACTTTGTTATGACAACAAGAAAAGTTTCACTAGCCCTCAAGTAGTCCTGCACTGGCAGACTAGTGCTCTGTTTAGCTGACTGGGCACGGCCTGTGCCACCCACATCAGGTTGGGCTAAAGGCGAACCGTAGGGGGCTAGTTACTGCGCGATTGCATTCTTATCAGGGTAATGACTGAGTGGAAATCCATTGCATGTGCTGACAGACGTTAACTAAAAATAAGTCCGCAATTGTATTTTATGCCAGTTTTGGATGTTCATTCCATTTACTGTCAAATCAAGAAGTACGCCCTTTAATTACACATGCGGGCGAGGTTTTGTAGGCGCATAACGTCAATACTTGCCTCGTAAACTTCCACTCATAAGGGCTCCCTGCCGCATTCTTTTCATTTCTACAGCCAATGCTTGTCAGTGCGTTGGAGCGTATCCGCAACCGTCTTCCTTGGCTCGAAAGGCTTGACATTGTCAATGAACCAGCTCCACCACCAAAGGACACTGACCTCGATAATGATATCAGTAAAATTGACCCCAATGATGATTTCAAGAGGGAAGCATTCTTGTAAGTTCTCCAACTTTCATTAGTGTTTGCAGTACGGTTGTTCATGGGAGTTTTGACACGGTTTGCCCACTTGTTCTTACGAGACTTGCCAACTTTGTTTGAACCAGCGGAGCTCCAACTCTCCATAGCACACTCTTCTTTTTAGTTGCTTTTTATTTGTGAATCACACACTTCCGCACTTCTACTGTCGTATACGTTTGCTGAATAGACTTCTCAGTCCATGACCTTGTGGTCGACCTGATTTGGTCAGATTGAGTGATCACAGATCTCAGCGTTCCGTCCCTTCTGTGATTCATTTTGTCTTGAAGCGACCACCTCCAGTTTTTTCTTCCTTCCCGTACACAGCTCAAAATCTAAAACCGTATATGACCACTCCGCGCACGTAAGCTTAGTATAGACTGATCTTTTTGTGATGGACCCATGAAAATTTCTAAGCCGAAAAAATCCGTCAGTAGCACAAATAAATATGATAAACCAACAATCCCAAGCGTTCGACATCTGGTCTTGTGTTCGACAAGGTTGCATATTGTTGCCCATCCTTTTCAACTACGCCGTTCACGGCGTTCTTTGAAAAGTCCCACACGTTTTTGAAAATATGGAGTTTGAACCCAGACGCCGGCTGACTGATCTCGACTACGCCAATAATATCTTCCTGTTAGTCTCAGGTTTTGTTGATCTATAGTCTGTGGTGTCACGAGTGAACGAGGTCGCTATGTCGTTTGGCTTGTCCATAAATACGGGGGAACTAACTTATTCTCAAATTACATCGCTGACTAGGAGAAGGCACTCCTGAGAATTGATGGTCGGCAACTTGAAGAACTAGACAGTTTCAAATACCTCGGAACGAAGCTACTGTTGAAAGGAAAGAGTAGAAGATATTGTCCTCCAAATCAATGTTGCTCGCCCGGTTTTGTCAATCCTTTGAAAGCGTCTATATATCCGACGTGACATTTCTGCCGCCACAAAGGTCAATGTGTCCGTCCTGTCAGTTCTCTACAGTTGTGAATGTGGGCGTTGCGCGTGAAGGATTGGCAAAAATTGGAGGTATTTGACCACCGCTACCTGAAGACCATCCTTCGAGCGAAGTACACCGACTTCATCCAAAATG